GTTGCAATCTCTCCTTTTTTTCGTAGATCTCGCCCCGACTTAAGGGCTGACAGCCTTAAACGTGGTATCTATATTTGGCGACTGTCTCCTTGGGAGTGTGGGGGGAGGTCTGGTCCTTGAGAAAGTGCGAGTGATTCCTTCTTATTTCAGGGCTGTGATTTTTCCCATTTTGGGGGCATCCTGACCACATTTAAGTGCTGGCACCTGTAAGGACAGCGTTTATCTCTGTAGACTGTCTCCTGTGGAGCATAGGCAAGTGTTGGTTCTTGAGAAGGGGGTAAGTGGTTTCTTTATTTCAGGGCTGTAATCTCTTTCTCTCTTTCTTTTTTTTTTTTTTTTTTTCTCTAGTATCCTGACCACATTTTAAGGGGTGGAAGCCACAAGGGCAGCATCTCTACCTGGAGACTGCTTCCTTGGCAGTGTGGGCTGAGTGTTCATCCTTGGAATGGGGTGACTTATTCTTTTTTTTATTTCAGGGCTGTGATATCCCCTTCTGGGGGTATCCTGACTACATTTAAGGCCTGGCAGCCATAGGTGCAGCATCCTGGCGGCAGCTTCCCTGGGAGAGTGGGGTGAGTATTTGGAACGGGGCATGTAATTCCTTTTTTATTTCAGGGCTGTGAGCTCCACCTTTTTGGGGGGGGTACCAAACTGGATTAGAGCAGCTGTATTTGCATGTTTGTCATCACAATGCCCTTTTTTCTTCTCTAAGGGAGATGAAGGTGTTATCTCCCTTTCTCTGATATGGTGATTGAAGGACTGACACATGTTTCTTTCTTTCATTGCTCCCTCATTTCTGGAATGCTTCAATCAGCCTCAGGATAATGCTGGTTAGCTGACTGAGCATTGCTGTTGTGGGAATGCCCAGAGCTAACATCCTTTTCCATAAAGAGGCTCTTCATTCTCCAGGTATTTTAAGCAAATATTTCTGAGCTTGTTATCTTCTGGTTCCACCTGTGTTCACCATTTCATGGTTCTTATAGCATGATCTCAAACCTGGCGCTCCAAACATGGTTTGTGTGCACCTCTATCATCCCATTTCATGACTGTAGTTAAGAGTGTTATGCACTGCTTCCAAGCATACAAAGTTGTTTAAAGGCATTCTGTGCACCCTTACATGTAATAAATCAGCTGATCTCATTTTTTTTTTTTAGCTTGATGGGGTTTAGGGATTGCTGGAGTTTGTCTCATCAGGGGTGTAAGCACGCTGAGATCTACTGAGCAGGTAACAGAGCATTCCAAGCCCCGTGTTTGTGCACTAGCTTGTATGCAGGCAGGTTTCTAATGGCTGTGGGAAGCTCACTTAGGGATCAAATGGGTTGCAGGCGGCTCACCTTTCTCCATGGGGTCTATTCTCCCAGCCTGCTGCACTACACGGCTGATGATAGAGTGAGGTGCTTCGGCCAGGACCTGAAGAACACTCCCAGAACGTAGTGGCCATCTGCTTCATCCTCACTGAGCATAATATGGTCTGCACCACTCGAGCTTAGTGATAACAGGTATTCTGTTCCTAATTTGTCTGGTTCTCTCCCATATCTCCCTTAAAAATT